CCCCCCCGGGTCCCTGTCCCCCTCCCCGAGTTCCTGTTCCCCCCTCTCTCTGGGTCCCTGTCCCCCTCTCTGTGGGTCCCTGTCCTCCCCTCTCTGGGTCCCTGTCCCCCTCCTCCTCCCCCTGAGTTCCTGTCCCCCCTGGGTCCCTGTCCCCCTCCCCCTGAGTTCCTGTTCCCCCCTCTCTCTGGGTCCCTGTCCCCCTCTCTCTGGGTCATGCGAGGGTTAGCGTGGGACGTGGCCATCTCTGGGGGACCAGGGTCGATGTAGACGGCCCCCCCACCGCATCCAGACACTTCTACAGGATGCTTGGGGTCGGGGCAACGCCCGGGCCTCACGCTTCCCCTCCCCTCCCCCAGAGGAACCCTGTGCCAGTGTGGGCACCCCCGAAGTGCACACCCATCAGTGGCCGTGGAGGACGCGTTCGGGGCGGCCATGGTGACCGTGTGGGACTGCGACGCGCACACCACAGAGAAACCCACCGACGCCTACGGGGAAGTGGATTTCCTGGGCGCGGGCCGCAAGGCCAGCAATGTGAGGTTGCATGTCTGGGAGAGCGCCGTCGGTGAGGGGGGCCCCTCTGGGGACCCTCAGCTGAAACCATGTGTCTCCACTTGCCCGTCCCTGTCTATGTTGCTTCCTGGGACTCTGTCCCCATTTCTCTCTGGGACTCTGTGCCCCGGTCTCTGTCTCTGTGTCTCTGGGTCTGTCTGCCTGTCTCTGGGTCTCTGTCCCTATTTTTCTCTGGGTCTCTGTCCCCGTCTCTGGGTCTCTGTCTCTGTTTCTGGGTCTCTGTCCCCGTCTCTCTCTGGGTCTCTATCCCCTCGTCTCTGGGTCTCTCTCCCCTCGTCTCTGGGTCTCTGTCCCCGTCTCTCTCTGGGTCTCTGTCCCCGTCTCTCTCTGGGTCTCTCTCCCCTCGTCTCTGGGTCTCTCTCCCCTCGTCTCTGGGTCTCTGTCCCCGTCTCTCTCCCCTCATCTCTGGGTCTCCGTCCCCCTGTCCTGTGTCCCCTGCCCTCGTGTGTCCACAGTTCCTCCGTCTGTCTGACCGCACGGATCCAGCAGCGGCGTATAACCTGGTCACCAGCACATGGGGCTTCCGTCCCCCGAACCTGGTGGTGTCAGTGCTGGGGGGCTCCGGGGTGCCGGTCCTCCAGACCTGGCTGCAGGACCTGCTGCGTCGTGGGCTGGTGCGGGCTGCCCAGAGCACAGGTGACCGGGGACGGGGTGCATGGGCGACCTGGCCCCTGTGGGGCTGCCGTGTCCCCCACTTCTCTGGGAGGCTGTCTCTCACCCCCAGGGCTCAGTGATCAGCCACCTTTTGGCCTGTTTCTTTCCCTGCCTCTCTGCATGTCTGTGTGTGGTTCTCACTCCCACACTGTCTCCCTGTAGGGGCCTGGATCGTCACCGGCGGGTTGCACAGGGGCATCGGGCGGCACGTTGGTGTGGCAGTGAGGGACCATCAGACCGCCAGCACCGGGGGCAGCAAGGTGGTAGCCATGGGCGTGGCACCCTGGGGCGTGATCCGTAACAGAGACAGCCTTGTGCACTCCAAGGTGGGACCAGGGCTCTGGGGGAGGGGGGCTGGGGCTGAGACTGGGGTTTTGGGGTGCAGTGATTGGCCCCGTTGACTGAAAGACCCCATGCTCCGGCCACTTGTCCCCCAGGGCTCCTACCCTGCGCGGTATCCGTGGCGCAGCAACCCCGAGGACACGGGCCAGGCGGCCAGGGGCCAGTTCGCGCTCGACTACAATTACTCCGCCTTCCTTCTGGTGGACGATGGAACGCTCGGCCGCCTGGGGGGCGAGAACCGCTTCCGCCTGAGTTTCGAGTCCTACATCGCTCGGCAGAAGACAGGCGTCGGAGGTGAGTGGTGTTTTCAACCCCCAACACCTGGCACTGAGCATAAGATCCTAGTCAAAAGGGGGGAGGTCTGTGGAAGGGAAGAGAATTTTCTTAAAAT